GCCAGTTTTCTCATAATGGGCACCCTGGACCATGCAGCCCATTGTGGATCCAGGCTGTTCAGGTTCTTCAAGGACGTCTTTGCCCTTGGCCTGCTGGGTCAGATGGTACTGGATTAGCGTCAGGGCTGAGACAATCAGGTCCTTGGCCAATGAATCAGTGGAAGGGCTGATCTTCTCCCTCTTAGAATCTTCCCGACTGGTGCTGAAAAGGTCAGTGAACAGGTCCTTAAAGAGAGCCTTACCATGTGGAACCAGAAACAAACGGGTGGTGGTCAGACCAAGATGCATAGCAAAGCAGGCACCAGCCGGGAAGATTCTAAGAGGGAGAAGATCAGCCCTTCCACTGATTCATTGGCCAAGGACCTGATTGTCTCAGCCCTGACGCTAATCCAGTACCATCTGACCCAGCAGGCCAAGGGCAAAGACATCCTTGAAGAACCTGAACAGCCTGGATCCACAATGGGCTGCATGGTCCAGGGTGCCCATTATGAGAAAACTGGCAGTGGCCAAAGTGCGAAGGCGCTCTCCATGAAACATCTGGAATCACAAAGCGGTCAACATGCTGGTCCATCCACTTCCCCCAAAGAGCTGGACACTCAAAAACTGGACATGTCAAACATCGTTTTGATGCTTATCCAGAAGCTCCTGAATGAGAGTCCATTCAGCTTGGATGACCAATGCGAAAGTGAGAGCAAAAGGGATGAATCAAAACCCAAAGTCTCCTCTTCTACGTCGAAGTGCTCCGACAGGGGTGAGGAGCACTCCCACGACCATCAAGAATTTGATTTCATCAGCGGCAAGAAGCAAGTAAACCAACAGTTTGTAGACCAGCTGGTGGAATCTGTGATGAAGCTGTGCGTCATCATGGCCAAATACAGCCACAACGGGGCGGGCCTCGCTGAGCTGCAGGAACTTGGACTCAGTTTCCAGGCCGGCAGTTCCAGGTGTGCTCAGGATGCCATGATGTCCCATTCGCGTCACGATAACCCAGGGCCTGAAGTCATTGTGAACAACCAATCTTCTACCAGCAACCTGAAGAAGCAGCTCCAAGCTGTGCTCCAATGGATTGCCGCGTCCCAGCTCGAGGTTCCCATGCTCTATTTTATGGGAGATGAGGATGGTCAGCTCGAGAAGGTGAGCACAAAAGTCCTCAGCTCTGCAGGGAGAAGCAGGGTGGGGTGGGCCTCGGGGGGGGGAGGGGAGGGAGAGCCCCTGGGGATGGAGGAGGCCGGCCGATGTCATGGCTCTTAGAGCATATGGGGCCAGAACCCCTCAGAGCAGACACTCATTGGAAAATAGCATGGGCGCAATTAGGTTGGGACATCCGTCTTCTGCCCTTGGGACTTCGATGATTTTGATGGTCCTTTTTTTCACAGCAGCTCCTCCAGTAATATTGTCCACAGCCCAGGCTAAATGAAGCCCTGTTTTTTCTTTCTTTCCTTCCTTCTCTCTCTCTTTCTTTCTTTCCCTGTTTCTCTCTGTCTTCTTTCTTTCTGCAGCTTCCTGAAGTGTCAGCCAAGGCTGCTGAGAAGGGCTACAGTGTTGGAGATCTCCTCCAAGAGGTGATGAAGTTTGCCAAAGAACAACAACTCGATGAAGCAGTCGGGAACATGGCTAGAAGGCAACTGCTGGACTGGCTGCTCACTAACCTGTGAGCCTCTCTGCTACACTCCCTCCACCAGCGAGTTCTGTCCCAGCCGGAGTGCCACGCTCCATCCGCTATGGTAGTAAAACAGCA